TATTTAACAGAAATATATGACCATTGTTGAAATGATAAATATTTAGAGAAGGTTCACACATTGTTCTAATCCCAAATCACTTGTATCTGTATTATCACACCACAAAGTTCACTATGATTAGGAGGTGGATTTTTTTTTAATTTATATATTTTAGTCTTGCCATTTATTCATTTAAAAGCTGTATATATCTCTCCATTTTAAAAAATGCAAATCTAGCTTATCCATAACAATGGTATGGAACTAAAACACCCCATTTGTTCTCTATTGCCTTATATTTTACCAGTTGCCCAATAATTCAGGTAGAATGGGGATGTCCTCTTGAAAGGATTTCAGTTGTGAGACACTCAGTGTGCAGAAAGACAGGGCATTTTTCAGTAAAGGAGTTTCTCCCTATTCAGGTATGACTGATACCTTGCCCAGTTACCTCAGCCACAAAAGAACACCACTTCTCCTTCACTGCTCCAGTGAAGATCTAGGCGCCAAAGGCTGGGAAGGAGAGGATACGTCTTTTTGAAAGTGTCTCTCCAAATACAGTTTCACATCGTCGCATGACAGCACCGTAGCCAGGGCTGCTACTTGCCTTTTGATGGTATTTGGCGATAACCCTTTGTCGAGCCCGTCCAGCAAATATTCTAAAATTCTAGGGATAGTGATGGATGAAACTAAACTAATCCTACAATATATTGGGTTTAGCTAGAAGAAAAGCCAATCATTACAACCCAAGCAATTAAAGGAATAATTCTGTGATAGAAGGGAGAAGGTAAACACAGTGTGCCATTTAACTGTGTGATTTTCCAAACATACAGACTGCATTTAGAGATGATAACCTGAGATTGGAAAATTGCTGGGAGAAAACAGGTAACATTTTTCAACATAGAGAGAATGTCTGTCATGAGGGGAAGGAGAGAAGTTGAAATGCAGATGGAGTTTTGACTGGACTAAAAAAAAGGAAAGAACAAGATGGAACATTCTACCAGGAATTATCCAGAACCAAAGACAAAACACACAAAGATTAAAGAAACAATATAATCTACAAAATCAGTTGTAATGATTGCAATCACTTCTATGTGGGGCAAACATCACATCAATTAAAAACCAGGATCCACAAACACCAGCTAGCAGTCAAACGCCACAATCCCAAATCCTTAATCGATACCCACATCAACACCAAACAACACCAATTCAATTGAAGCAACACTAAAATCATTGGCCATACTACCACCTGCCACGCTCATGAGTTCATCGAAGCCTGACACTCCACAAGCAATTCCATCAACAGACACATTGATTTTCAACCAGCCTACGAACCCATCAGAATCCAAATCAATTGCACAGCTAATTGGAGACAGCATCAGACCTCAACCAACCCATAAAAGCCCTGCTTGCCCCCCAGCAGTTCATCTTCCAATGATCCTGACCTGAAGTAATCTCCCTATCACAAGACCCGTCACCAGCCTCTCACTGCTAACTCACCCCTGACCCACTAATAATTCACACTCTCTAACAACCCTGACCTCCCCATCACAAGACCCATCACAAGCCTCTCTCTGATGACTCATCACAAGACCCTTACTTGACACACCCACACCTGAAGCCCTTATAAATAGAAGAGCACTGACACAAATATCCCCTAAAAGCCACTAAAGAAGTTACCTAGCCTGGTAATGAAGCATTCGGAAACCAACCCGCAAGCTCGGAGAATGAACCTTCACCCTCAAGATGGAGAGGTTTGAATGTACACAAGTTCCTGAGTGATGGAAGGTCAGCACAGGGATTGCTATACAGAGAAGAAAATAATATTTCAGAGAATTATCATTTCTAAGGAAGAAGAAGACCCAAAGACAAAAAGAGAGTTCTGCTAATCATAAAAGATTGCCAAACACATCTGACAAAGTGCCCTTGATTAATTTAATAATAGGTACTATGTAGGAGAAGAAATTTAACTTTTGCAGGCATGAAGGTAATATGGGAGATAATAATTGAGTTGTGAGTTTTCATGGTTGAATGTAGGTTTGAACCTGGGTCTCTCTGGTCCCAGTATTCATTTTAAATTGCTTTTTAAATAAGTTATCTAATCATACCGATCAATTTCAGATGGAATAGCAAAAGATAAACTGAGTAAATGTATGATAGATCTTGGTTTCACATGACGCTTACATATGAATGGACTGCTTGCAATAGGACAACCCATTCATGACATGTATGAAGCACCATACTAATTATGGTGAGAGAACTCATAAACATTTTTTTAGTTTTTTTAATAGAATTTTAAATATAACTATCTTAACCAAACCCTTACTTTGAAGTGCTGTATTAACAAAAACAAAGGAAAGTATAAATATAAATACCGTAAATGCCGACGTATAAGACGACTTCCGCGAGCGCTGAAATCGGCGCCAAAGACGGGGGTCTTCTTATACGCCGAGTCGTCTTATACGCCGGAAATACTGGTAGTTTCCGGCATATAAGACGATGTTCTAGGAATGCGGCCTGGCTATAAAGACGGGAGTCGTCTTATACGCCGGGTCGCCTAATACGCCGGCATATACGATAGTATAGTTTGAATCATAAAAGGATTGATATATTCATTGTATACCCTACCAGAAAATAGCCAGGAAGTCTCTTCTCACAGCTTTCATTGAGTTTCTAATGACAAAACCAATAACTGTCAAGAGCATCGGTGTCAGGTGAAGAAATGTGCCAGTTTTAATTATCCAGATTGCATCTGAAGTCCTACAACTACCATAGTATGTTTATGCCACTGGCAATGTGGAGAAATCCCTAACATTTAAGGAAAATAAAAATGTGACATGTCTTATTTTCCTAATCAGAACTCCAAATTATATTATCAGTCCACAGTCTGAGATCAATATGGGTGAATCAGGGGTGTTACCCCTTTTTATGTGCATGTTTCCATAAATATACATGAGGGGAAAACATTGGGCATTTCAGAGAGTAATTCAACTAATGTCAATAATTAATAATGCCATGTTTTGTACAAGAGTAAAAGATACAAATCAAAGGTATCAGTTAAACTTGGGAAAAGCCAGGAAGAAGTGGAAATTTAAACTGTAGAGGGGTTATTCTCCTTCATGTTTACAGAGAGGAATCAGATAATTGATATGTCTTTATCTAGTATGTATTAAATATATTTAGCTAATCATGTTATATTCAAGCATAAAGGTAGCTTCTGGCAAGTTCAAGACAGTTAAAGGAGTGATCATGAACAGTACATTCTGCTTGTGTTGCAGATCCAATTTGGAATACATGGGGTCAAGACTATAATTTTCCCAAGAATATACAGCCTTCCATTTGTGAAAATCAAGATAAAGCAGATGAAACTGGTTTAGTGAGATGCAAACCAGTGTTTCATTTGCACTTCCATGCACTCAAAAGTATCTCTTGGAATCAATAAAGCCCAGAATATATGTACCGATCTAACTTTGCACCCAAATATATATATCAGAGGGGCAAATTAGATGATGAATTAAATAGCACATGGTATCCAAATCAAATCATTTACTTGTATGTGTGATGGCTGTTTTAAATATTAAAAATATTTCTATTATTTAATAGCAATATAATTATGAGACAAGAATGTTATGTCCTCATACTAGCCATACTCTACTATTTTAATTTTTAGTTATTAACAATAATTCACTTTCGTCAAACCTCCTCTTGCAATACTCAAATCCAATTATGATATAAGAAATTATCTTCCAACTACATAGTTCTCTAAAGGAAAGTTCCATAAAATTTTAAATATTTGTTTCCATTGGCAATAGTAAAGGGAATATTTAAGATATTTAAGATTTTGTTTTATCGACTCATCCATAAACAAATATGAACAATGGTAATTCCATTCTATCATGTTTACTATACTGTATAAGTAGACTTCTTTTCTCAAAATCTCAGAATACGACTGATACAAAAATAAATTAACCAGGTAGGTATTAACTGGCAGAGTCTATCTTGCCTAACCACACAGCACACATGCAATGAAAAGCAATACTTGTTTCATACTACTCCGTAATGTATTTCCATTAATGCATTGCAAAGTTGTTTCAGTAGTTAATCATACAAAGGAGCTGATATACAAATCAGTCATAGAAAAGTAGCACGTACACGTTCATTTCAATTTCATCAGCTCTAGCTGTTTTTTTCAGCGATCACAGATCATACATGAAGAAAATTAAATTCTATTCCGTAATTGATAAGGTCCCAGATGTTGTACAGAGAAATGCTTCAACATTTAAGATACCCTTGTGTTTAATTTAACATATAAACCTCCACTTGAAGAGCTGCCTACTTCAATTCAGAGATTAAGAAACAGGCAAGCAGAACCACAAAGTTCTCAACAGTTACTTCTGTAGGCCCCAAACTGATCATGCATGCAGATTATTATATCATATTTTTCTATATTATCCTGATTTACAGGTATTTCTATATGCAAGTTGGTACATATGATATCTCACTGCAGACAGTTTTGAAACCATGGCAGGATATAAATGCAATAAACAAATAAATAAATAATTTGACTATTGAAATTAGACCAGCTATTTTTAAATGAACTCATATGAAAGTTCTTTGCCATATTTAAACAAATTGCTCTTATATATTACGCTATTTTGTGATGTTCATTTTTCTACCTCTTGGGGAAGGATAATAATTGTTCTATTTTTCAACTGATTTATTGAAAATCAGAAGGTACTGTGTCCAACCATTCAATATCCCACTGTCAAAATGCTTCATATGTGTTCTCTAGAACATATCTTTTTACTAAATTCATTCAGTACAGAAATGAATGTTCCACTTTTAAACAATTTGGCAAAAAAATCATGAAATAATAGAAGCATTCCTAGAAGACTTTTTTTTTAAAATTTCATTTACAAAGAGCAATTTCTGACAATATAGATACATCCATAACAAAATATCTGAGATAATGTAAATCTTGATCAACATTTGATCCAGTTATTTCATGAATATACACATAGGATTACCTTTCTATCCGGCCAATTATATTTTTCAAATATAGCATCATATGTATCCACTGCACCATCAGTAATCAGCATTATGGCTTGACTGCAGATACTTCCTTGTCCTGTGTGATTGAACTAGGAAACAAAAAAAGTGACATTATTTGGCTTCTGACAAACCTAGTTAGGCAAATCAGTTTTTGCTACAAAATACCTGTGCTTCCTGAGTATTTCCATCTAGAAAAAGTATATTTTAAGATTTTATTTCTTATTTTGACAGAGCATAGTAGTCAAACATATTCCACATTTAGAGTATGATATACTTTAAACAATACAGTGTCATATGGAATATATTTTATAGAAAAGCATCCATTCCATCAAAAAGTCAAGTCTGGAAATTACAAGCCCCAAGGCAAGATATACCTCAACCCTGCTTGAAATATGTCAAAATATTAGCAATCATTTTTAATGATTGAATGAGAGGGAGAGGTAATCTAAAATGAAAAGAGAATATAAAATCATTTTTACATATCATATCATCATCAAGGTAGTTTGCTTACTTTATGGGCTTACTCCCATTTTTTATTTATATGTATACATATATACATATGTACATGCATGCATACAATACACACATACTGCTTCCTAATATTTTAAGTGCTCCTTGGCTCAGAGGGGAAGGGTTTTCTTTGCTATTTTTTTTTCTTTTACAGGATAAGGTTTTCTGTGGTCTCCACTCAATAGTGCATGAATGGACTTCTTGCTAGAAAGATAACCAGGTAACAGATTCTACCTGCTAAAGGTAAGATGAGAAAATAACAAAGGGGACAAACAGAATGATGGGAGAAATAGATTAAAAGACGCTGCATTCTCTTTCACTATTGGGGTGTAAACCTTTTGGAACTGGTGGCACATTTAGGATTTTAATAGTATGTCATTTAATGTCCCATTAAAAAGCTGCCATATAGGCATACCCAATCTGAAAATTCCAATTTAGTAGCATGCCATTTTTAAAATTGTTCCCATCATGTCTATTCTTGCTACCAACATACATGCATGTATGTAGACCAGAGGTCCCCAACCTTTTGGACGCCAGGGACCAGTTACGTGGACAGGGGTGGTTTTATGTGCTGCCTGCATCCTGCGGATGTGACTTTGCTTTTTGTGCAGACTAGTTGCTGGCATGCCACGCCCCGGTACCAATCCACACCCCGGGAGTTGGGGACCCCTGATGTAAAGGCTACGCAGGCGATCAGGTGAGTTTTCTGCTCAGAGAAAATACAGAACTGCAACTCTCTGTTGTTGATAAATTGTGTTTGGTAATTTAAGGAAGGAGGGGTATGTAGAGTGTAGCAGACACAAGTAATAGTATCTTGATCATTCTGGGCACATATAAATTTTATTCTTGCTTTGCCAAAATAAAACCAGCCAACAGTGAAATTAGTATATGATGAATAAAATTAGAAAATCTATTTGCATCAGTGACTCTTCTTTATTTTAAAACTAAAGTAAGAACTATAGATTTTTAAAAATAAACAGTATATTAAAACTGGGTCTTTTCATCTATTTATTTTACTGTAAATCATATTAATCATATTAGCTTGGGTGGGTGATGTCTTCTCATGTGTATTTAAACATTTTTATTGAATAACAGAAATGATTAACATCTTTTCCAGAATAATAACAATAATAAGGGACCTTATGATGAACTACAATTAACTCAGTGATTCATTATTTAGCAGTGAAAATTTCAGCTCATCCTGACATTTGGAGCATTTGTTTATGATTCTCTTCAAAATGTCACAGAATTTTAATTATTGGTTAAGACTTATAAAATATAATCATAACAAAAATTAACTTTATTGGCAAAGGAGGTAATTGCATCTGTCACATGATATAATTCATACTGTAATCCTGCAGGAGAAACTTGTGGTAATAGCATAAATAATGGTTGGGAAGAATTTAGACTTAGCTATGAATACAATTTAGAGAATGATGAAGACAGCTAGCTCTTTGGAAAACACTAGTAAATATGAGGCTTACTTATTCTAACCTAAAAGACAGTCTAAAAGTGAGACCCAACAGATGATCATATAAGAGTACTGACATATAATTCATAAGAACGAATTTCCGAATTTGCATGTTGAATACTGCTACATTCAGTAAAAAAAAAAAAAAGCTACATTGTCCATTTAAACAGATTACGTAAGTAATACAAATTCTAAAATGAAAAAGAAATATAATAATGTGTTCCAGATAATGAAATCAGAAACAAAAGAGGAGGCAAAATTGATGAACTTACATCACTGAGCATATTGAAAGCTTCAACTAAGGCAATGTCCAGCATTCCGATTCCTTTGGCAAAAAGTTTGTCAAGGTGTTCCCTGAAGTGCTGCAGAAGAAACAGAAAGAGGATTTCAAGCAACTTTTTTTTTTGATAAATTGATTAAAACAATCAATGTATTAAAGTCAAGGAGCCTTTCACAGTTGTAAAGAAACAAACTCATTTTTAAAAATTGTTTTAAAGAATCTTGCTTCTCCAGTTTAAAAAGAATCTAAAGCATACTAAGTTTTGTAGGAAAATAGAAAGCTGTCAAGCTGAGTAATTTGATTTTATACTCCTACTAGGGATAACTTTTCCTACAAAGAACAAAATCCCACAAATGTTTGGAGAAGAATAAGTATTTAGAAAGGCTTATTCATGTTGTGACAATTCCTCATTCATTCTATACCAATCATCATCTCAAGGCAAATTGCTTTGAAGCAAACAAAATGACCAACCAAGAGGTTAGCTATCCTATCTTATGATACAGTACTCATCTTCATGGTTGGAAAATATAATGGTAGCTACCATTTCAACACGGATCAGTTTGCACAGTTTCTGAAATTCTTTCTATTACTTTGCCTTTAAATGCAAACAAAATAAATCGATTCTACAATTTCATTTGGCCCAGAAAGTGTTTTGAATATTCAGTTCCAGCCTACAGTAATATTGTCTATCTGCCCGCTGCCAGCCCTAAATACATGATAATGCTTTATTGACCACAGTTTCATTATTTATGTTATCACAGATTAATATAACCTCATTCTGGAATTTGCTATCAACAAAGAAACATCTCAGGATGAAATCCATCACATACCAATGTTGTCCAACACATCATCTTTTAAATAGATCATACAAATTGTTCTTTCTTCCCCAAATACAAAAATCCATCTATCAAGAAGTATTATTTAGATGTAATAAGGGAAATATAAATATATGAAATATAAGAGGAAATTATATGCTGCTATATCTAATATTGTTTTTGTAAATTTCCTACAAAGAACATTTTTCTGTACTAAAATAATGGATTCATACAGTTCAATGAATGATAAAATTTTCATACGTTTAGAGGGGGGGGGGAATCAGAGTAAGGCCATTTTGAAGCACATGTTGTTCCCACAAACTAGGGCTGATTTTCCAAAGCAATTGGTATAACGTAATGCTCATGTTAACCCAGTAAATTTGGTTTGTGCATCTCCATATTTCAAAACATTCCAAGTTTTTTTCAGCTCAATAAGCATTTAAGCTATGATAGATTCAGATGCTGTGGAATGGATTTCATATTTTGCTCAAACCAATCAATGAAAATATATTTCATCATTAGGAGAATGTTAAAGATATTTTCACTTGCAGTCTGAAGTATAAAGAATATGAAATTTGAAAAGGGACACATGTTCAAATTTTTAGGAATGTACTTATGAATAGACTTCTGGTAACTTACAGAATTGAAATAAAACCAGGGGAATCTTATTATCTCATCTTAACTCTTAACTCTTTGATCCCAAAGGTGTTGTTTTTTTTTTTTTTTTGTATCATTATATCAGGGGTCTTCAAACTTGGCCCTTTTATGACTTGTGGACTTCAACTCCCGGAATTCTGGAAGTTGAAATCCACAAGTCATAAAAGGGCCATGTTTGAAGACCCCTGGATAATATGGTCAAATCAGCTGGAGTAGAAATTATTGTTTTAACCATTTAGTTGTGTCTGACATTTGGTGACTTTATATGCAAGTGCTCTCCATGCTCTCCTGTCGAGAAACAGCATTAAGATACAGGAGAATCTGCACAGACTTGAACACTGGGCGCTATCTAACAAAATGAAAATCAATGGTGAAAAAAGTAAGATTCTACATTTAGGCAAGAAAAAACCAAATGTACAGGTAAAGTATAGGGGGTACCTTGCTCAATAGTAGTAACTGTGAGGGGGACCTCGGAGTCCTAGTGGACAATCATTTAAATATGAGCCAGCAGTGTGCTGCAGCTGCCAAAAAAGCCAACACAGTGCTGGGCTGCATTAACAGAGGGATAGAATCAAGATCATGTGAAGTATTAATAACCACTTTACAATGCCTTGGTAAGGCCACACTTGAAATACTGCATCCACGATGTAAAAAAGATGTTGAGATTCTAGAAAAAGTACAGAGAAGAGCAACAAAGATGATTAGGGGATTGGAGGCTAAAACATATAAGGAACGGTTGCTGGAATTGGGTATGTCTAGTTTAACAAAGAGAAGGATTAGGGGTGATATGATAGCAGTGTTCCAATATCTCAGGGGCTGCCACAAAGAAGAGGGAGTCAAGTTATTTTCCAAAGCGCCTGAAGGCAGGACAAGAAACAATGGGTGCAAACTAATCAAGGAGAGAAGCAACCTAGAACTAAGGAGAAACTCCCTGACAGTGAGAACAATTAACCAGTGGAACAACCTGCCTCCAGAAGCAGTGAATGCTCCAACACTGGAAGTTTTTAAGAAGAGACTGGACAGCCATTTTTCTGAAATGGTATAGGGTTTCCTGCCTGAGCACGGGGTTGGACTAGATGACTTCCAAGGTCCCTTCCAACATCATCATCATCATCATCATCATTATTATTATTATTATTATTATCATCATCATCATCTTTCAATCATTTGGATGTTGAGCTTGATTTGATGCTATCAAGCCAGCATGTTCTTTAGTTGCCCCTTCTTCTTGTTCTACTAACTACCGGTATCCTAGCATCATTACCTTCTTCAATGTATTTGCACATACTACATGGCCAAAGTAAACCAGATACATGAGTCAAAAACTAAGCGGTTAAACTAAAATCAAAGGAGACTCATATTCAATTCCGCATTTAGCCTAGAACAGGGGTCTTCAAACTTGGCCCTTTTATGGCTTGTGGACTTCAACTCCCAAAACCCTAAGCCGTTCCTATATTCCAGCCTACTTCACAGACATTTTGCTGTGAGGAAAATTTGGAGAAGGCTCCCTTGAATTCCAAAAAGAAATGGGATACAAACCTAAGAAACCAACAAATTAAATAGATGCCTCTGAATGTAGCTATATAGCTGTGGAAACAAGTACTCTGTTCTTGTTGCAGACAAATCTCTATCTAGTCTCTTTAATTAATAGGTTGTCTAAGCTTTTCATGATAATTTTTTGTAAAAAAAAATGCAACCCCCCACATTATGAGTGCAAATCCATAACATTTTGGGGAGAAAGAGAAAGGATGACAAAATGTTTCTAAATGGAGCATAAGGCCACAAAAAAAAAAAAAAAAAAAAAACCCCTTATGCTAGCATGTAAAAGAGGAATTTTACAACAACTCAAAGGACCTCTTTTCACACAGTTCAAGCATCTGTGTCATTGGCAAAATTCAAGCAGCTGCTTGAGGAGCTGTTCCCAGCTGTCTCTGCATACAGCTACAGGCATAGCCATTTCACTTGGCCAGGAAGAAAGCAAACAATAAAACTGCTTTTCCTACATTAACAACACTTGGGACTTACACAAATATATTTGGGGAAAATAATGTTTCTGTAAAGGATATAAATGCAATACTGACATCATTCCAAATGTTAATATACTGGAAAGAGTTCATGTGCAAAGAAATCAGGTTTACTGTCTTCAAGTCTCCTATTAAGCAGATGCTGCTAGATGATTCTGTGTAAAAAGTATGTTGATGAAAGCAACTGTTCTGACTTATACGCTTTATTATTTTTAATTGCATCTAGTCCTTTTTTTAAAAAAAATATCTCTTGAGAATTTTATAAAGATAAGATGGAAAGAAAGAGGGGGGGAAGGATGGCCAGAAGCAAGGTGGATGAATAAAGTGTCATCGATTTACACTATTACAGGATCTGAAGAACCAATTTGTGAACAGATCATTCTGAGAAAATCCAGCTGAGTTCAGCCTTGAACCGGTGAGAATCAAACTGCTGAACTGCTGGCAGCCGGCAACACTGCAACACTGCATTCTAACCACTGCACCAGCACAGCTCTCTAAAAGTCTGATAGTCATTTCAGCCACAGCAACAAAATGTTTTGTACTCAATTATAACAAAGAACAAAAGGAACCAGAACTGGACTGGATTCCATGAATCTGAAACTGAGGAAAGCAATGCAACTTTCTGAAACTAATTTTGATGTGCATGCTTCATCTTCATTTATAATCACAAAATCTTCAAATGTGTAAGATTTACATATAGCTTATTGGTAATGTTATGCAAATGAAATGGGCAACTGGAGCAATTATATTCTGATGTGTGATTAGTAAGATGACAGGTTCATAAGAAAAAGATACAGGTGCCAATTATTTTTGTTGGACCCAGAAATTAAGACAATATTGGAAAATCTTTGCTTACAATCAAAGAACCTCAAATTTCAGAATTCAAACTTTCCATTTCACCAAATACTTCATTAAACAATGAATGCTAGAAGAAAGGAAGGAATAACCTTGGAAATTCAAGATGGATATGTTCTGTCTAAACATGATCTCAGAATCACTCTGGACAGACAAAGGAATAATCAAACAGAACACTGTTCAAAACAGAGCATGTTAAAAAAGGAAGTTGTCACTAATGCAGTTATTTTTTTAAAAAAAGTTCCATCATAAAAGGTTGCTAGAGATGTCTCCCATGTGATGTCACTGAAGAATGGGAAGTCAGGGAGGTGGCAGGTCAGTGGAGAAAGAGCAATATTGTACAAAGAAAGGCAGGCTATTTTGTAACTAAGATATGTATAAGGATACTATATCTCATCCATGAGAATATCATTTAAATATGAAAGCAATTTGGAAAAAGAAAATGGAGTGACACCGCTTTAGAAAACATGTAATTTCTGGCATAGGCCTATTATCATGATCTTGTCAAAAATGAGCAACTCAACCAACTCAAAAAGAAGATACAATCCAGATATTTGAGCTATATTGCAGGCTTCACTGAGAATTGTAACTACATTCAACCAAACACAATCTATTAGAGGTTTAATTGTCACAAGGATTAAAAGTGTAGACACAGGTAAGCTTTTGATTCCATTATGTACCCATCATTTAAGTGCACTGTCTTCTTACTTTCATCTGGAAATATTTATAAG